GCACTTGCCCAGTAAATGGTAGCTATTAATACTACGTACGAAGCAAGATGCAAACAGTCATGGGAGGATGTTCAGCCCTCCAGGGCCGGCCCAGAGAGGGAAAGGCAGCGTCTCAGTCGCCTGGGCAGCCATGAGCACAGCAGGCACAGAGCAATCCCAAGGAGATGCACTTGCTAGTCTTTCACAGCTCACTTCCGGTATCATTTTGCAGGCCCCTGTGTTTGAACTGCGCCCCAGAGCCCTGCGGAGCGGAGGGGAGCGCGGATGCCGGGGAGGGGGGCACTGATGGATGTGAGGGAGATGGAGGGAGGTTTTGCAGGCCAGATAGATTTTTGCAGCCTATTGATTTTGGAAGCCCATTTGCAGAACGCATTTGAGGGCTTGTCCAGGAGGCCTCTGCCCACAGCGCGGCGCCTGGAAAAATGAAGCAGAACACTTGTTGATTCCTTCTGTGGCTCTGGGGCCACCGGGCTGTGCCAGCCCCTGCCCCACTGACCGCGGGGCTTGTTCCACTCCTCTGCTCCTCCAGGCTTCCGGGGGGGCCCCCGGCGGGGCAGCAATTCCCTCCCCCGGGGTGCAAATATGACAAGTGTATGGACAGTCAGGGAGGCTGCTTGTCTGTAAGTGATGCTTGATTCCATTTTGTCTGCATTTTTTCCTATGCATAAAAATCTGTTTCCTAATACTTAAGAGGGGCATAGGACAGGGAGTCTGATAAATCTTGTGAACTGTTTGTACCTTTAAAATACACCGATCACTGGACCCAAGCCATCAGCGCCCATTTAGACTGACCCCTTGGTCAGCCATGCTGCCGTCACCCAAAAAATCTGGACTTAAATTCCTATTAATACGTTCTTCTGTATGGATGGGGCAAGTTCAAGTGAAAGGCAGCTGGGATCATCAGATCCATTCTAGGTTTCACCTGTAGACTGTGGTGTCAGTTCTCACCTCAGACTTGCCATCTTTGAAAGAGGCATCTTTGCTTCTATCAGCTAGTTAGTTAATCAGACCTAGGGTTGAACCTTGACCTATAACTGTTTGATCTTGAGCAACAAAACCTTCCTGTTTCGATGTCATCATCTGGGATGGTTGTCCACTTCATAGGATTATTTCCCTGACTCTAAGGTGCACCATTATCGACCCATTATTGAACTAAGTAAAGAAACTGCTATTAATCAGACCATGAGACAACGTTTTCTTATCACTTAGAATTGGGGTTGGCAAACTATTTGGCCTTGTTGATTTTTGTATGATTCATGAGCTAAGAATGGCCTTTAAATTTGTAAATGGTTCCTCCAAAGCCCAAGAAAACAATAATATTTTGTGATGCATGAAAATGATATGAAATTCTAATTTCAGTGTCCACAAATAAAGCCGAATGAGACGTGCTCATCCGTTTACACACGATCTACAGCTGCTCTTGCACTGCAACAGCAGAGCCGAGTCACTGCCACAGGGACCGTCTAGCCCACAAAGCCTAAAATATTGACTTTCTGGCCCTTCGTAGAAAAATTTTGCCAACTCCTGGCTTAGAATATGTATTTTATACTTACCAAGAGAGCTCTTTTAGACTTATTTAGACATAGTTTTTTTTTAATCCTATAATACTCTTTTACATTTTTGATGAAATTGGAAATATAAGTGAATTCAATTGGCTAATTCCCAAACCTCCTTCTCATTCAGTGTCTTGTTCTTCTCAACCATCTTTTTTTTTTTTTTTTTTTTTGAGAAAGAGTCTTTCTCTGTCATCCAGGCTGGAGTGCGGTGTTGTGGTGTCACGATGGCTTACTGCAGACTGAAACTCCTGGGCTCAAGCAATCCTCCCAAGTTGTTGGGATTACAGGTGTGAGCTACTGTGTCCAGCTCATCAGCCATCATTTTAACTAAGAGTTTTCCCACATAATATTGTCCTCTGTGCCTGCCGGAGATCTAGCATCCTCATTCTGGCAGTCACATAGCTTTTCTTAAAAGAGTGCTCCTCTATCATCTCTGGGACTTTCATCCAAGTCGCTTGACCATGGAAGTGTTGACATTCATGCACAGACGGTAACATCTGTATCTGGCGTGACTGACAGCTGGGATAAAATCATGCCTGTTTTTGAAAAGTTAGAATGTGTGTGTGTCGGGAGAATGTGCGTGTTGGAATCTGTGAAATGCAAGACTCAGCACATTGCCTGGCATGGAGGAGTAGTTGATATATGTCAGGGTCCCCCGTCCTGATCCATTTTTACTGTGCCCATGTCTCTGTTCATAATGAAAAGTAGATGAGATTCTCTGGTTGCAAGCAAACCAGGTGCAGTGGACTTAAGGAAATCTCCGTAAGTTGGAGGGGTTTGCAGAACCAGAGGACAGGCTGGAGATGTGAATGTTGGACTGGAACCAAGTCAACTCTTGGGTCTAAGGAATGGGAGCCACAGAACATTCACTTGCTGATGTCACATCAGCCCATTTTTTCAGACCTGATTCAGGTCAGAGAGTGGCAAAGCATCTTCAAAGGGCCTGACTCGGGCTATGGATGGGAGAGGGAAGACGGCCACCTCTTGGATGAAGGGTCTCAGTGGGGACCCTTGGCCTCCCACTGAGGGAGCTGAGAGAAGAGGCCCACAAGGACATCTGACTCCCCTTGCCACGGTGAGCAGAACCAGCTTCATGGGTCACCCGTGCTCAGCAGATTCCAGTGATGGCCACGGGCAGGCTGGCCACCTCCCATGTCTGTCTAGATCCGGGTAGGAAATAACAGGGATAAAACGACCTGGCTGCGAAAGTGATCAATCATCAGGAAATATGATGACAGCATTATGGGGCTCCATGCAGTGCCCTTGGGGAACAAAGAGACCCCCCACCTGGAAGCAGTTCGTATCTGGGCAGGATGGCAAGGTGTCCTTCTGGACTTGGTCGTGAAGCTGTCCTGGCTGGGTTAGAGGGTTCTGTGCTGCAAAGGCACTTTGTCCGTCCTTCACTTTCCCTGCTGCACCATTTCTGTGCACTGACCTGGCTCCCACATTGTATTAGTCAGACATCTCCAGAAAAACAGAACCAGTAGGATGTGTGTGTGTGTGTGTGTGTGTGTGTACCTAAAAAATAGATAAATAAAATAAAATAAATCCATATAGAGAGATTTGTTTTATTTTATAAATCTATACATATATATAAATCTATATACAGAGAGAGAGATTTAATTTAAGGAATCGGTTCACACAGTCGTGGATGCTGGCAGGTGCAACACCTGCCGGGTGGCCCAGCAGCAGAGCCGAGGCCACATCTGAGGCCACCTGCTGGCGGGTCCCTCCTGCTCAGAGGAGTCAGTCTGCCTAGTCAGGCCTTCAGCTGGTGGGGCGAGGTCCACCCACACGATGAGGGCATCTGCTTTACTCAAAGTCCTCTGACGTGCATGTTCATCTTTCAAAAACACCCTCACAGAAACATCCAGAATCATGTTTAGCCACGTATGTGGGCACTGTGCGTGGCCCAGCCAAGTTGACACATTGAATCAACCATCACACTGGCCATATCGTGAGGACTTGTCTGATGCCGGGAGCTGGGAGACGCTTCACGCAGTGCGGGGAGTTGCTAGCTCGGTACATGCAGTTGGAAAAGTGAACGAGAAGAATACGTGCTGTGTGTCAGACCGGGGTTCCGACATCTGCTGCCCGGTCTCGGAGCAGGGAGCAGTTCCTGGGGTGCTAAGGACCCCAAGAAATCTTCACATAGGAGGAGGCCGGCCCTGGGTTTTGGAGGAGCCCTGGGGTTCGGGGAGGTAGAAAGCACCCCCCCCAGTGGAAGGAGCGCATCCCTTCAACACCTGTGCCCGGGTGCCTACCACGCGCTGGGCGCTGTGCGGGCCGGATGCTGGGGCGGAAGGAGACACGGGCGTGGGGGTGGAGGCCGGATTCTGGAAGGCCTGAGTGTAAGCTGGAAAAAGTTCTCCGTTTTTACAAACAGAATCCCGTCCAATGCTCCAGAAGGTTTGTTTGGTTATTCTGGCCCTGGCTTTTCTCAAGCTGGGGTGGCCAGTTTATCGGGTGGACCTCCAAGGCCCGGTCTCCTGGACTCCCCAGCTGGCTCCTGTCTTCAGACCCGATTTACAAGCCACTGCCAGGGGTGCATGGACGCCCGCTCCTGCCCCAGCCTCTGAGGAAGCCACAGCAGGGGCTGGGCCCCCGGGAAGGACGGCTCCCTGGGCAGGAAGATGCTGGGAGGCCCGGCGGGCGGCCAGCCTGCCTGGTGGTATGAAGCAGCCCAGAGTTTCCGTGGAGGGAGCCAAGTCTGGAAGCAGCCCTCGAAGCGTCTCTTCCAACCGTTTGGGCAGCCAGGGAGCACGGTGCCAGGGACAACACTGACAGAGTGACCCAGAGGAGCGTCGGAATCAACACTCGCCCCAGGGGCCTGGCCGCAGGTCAGCAACAACACAGTGGGTGCCATCGATCCATCGCAGGAAGGGGCTGGAGTCCGGGGGGAGTGGCACCCACATCCGCGGAGCCCACGCAGGGCCCAGCCTCGCAGGGGGGAGGCGGGGGCCCCTGCTCCCTCCCCGAGCACAGCCCCGTCTTTGTGCCACTCCGAGGATCCTGCTAATCTTTGCAGGCTTCTCCGGGGAAAAAGTTGTCTCCTGGTACAAAATGCTGCACGCATTGATCCGATTCCATTGAGAAGTGACTCCTTCCCAAAGGGAATAACATTAAAGTTCTCATCCCCTGTGCTTGTAATGCAGTGCATGCCCGTTCAGGTCTCTCTGCGTCAGGCAAACCTGAATTCATGGGAGCCGGGGCCACCCCCGGGCGCTCTCTTGGTCCCAGAACCGGGCGGGGGCAGTGCTGTATAAACCACGCCCTCTGGAAAGTCACAGGACTCTTCTCTTTGGCTTCATGGAACTTCCTCCCAAACCAGTCTCTCTTCCTGATTCCCCAGCTCTGTTGATTCAGTTAAATTAGTTAACATGTATTTGTGGTATTTGTTGAGCACCTACTACGTGCTAAGCACTGCTGTGCGCTTTTGGGGCACACCAGCGAACAAAGCCGATGAACAGCTCTGCCTTAACGGTGCTTCCCTTCTAGCCAGAGGTGGGGGCTGCGGAGACAAAATGAGCAGTAAACATAATAAATAAGTAAATCATATGGTCTGTTAAAAGATGATAAACGCATCTGGGTGCTGGGTCAGGGAGGAGAGGACAGGCCAGGTTGTAGAGTTGAACAGGGTCGGCAGGAAACTGTGAAATGCTGATCTCAGAGCCCCGCTGGGCTCTGAAATCCACCTGCCTTCTGGACAAGCCTCCCGCTGGCTGTGCTAACCGTGTGGCGGGGCCATGAGTCAGGCATTCCTGGGAGACTCAGGGCCCCTCTGATAGGCCACTTTGGCTCCAGGCTGCCCCAGGGCCTGGCTGACTGTCTCAGAGCCTCCTGCAGATTCAGACGCCCCCGCCCAGCCTTCCCGTCTTCTCTCCTTGCCAGGGTCGCACTCGCTGTGGTCTGAGGACACCGCTCCCTGCGCCTGCCTCATTCTCCCTCTCTAGACTCGCTCCTGAGAAATCTCTCGCAGCCAATCCCATCCTGGCACCTGCTTCTTGGAGGAGCCTGCTCACCCGTCGTGTGGGGCCTCGCCGAGAAGGTGAGGTGGAGACTGGAGCCCGTGAGTGGAGCGAGGGATTGCCAAGTGACAGTGCCACATCCTCCCCAGCTCCCTCCTCTGCTCAGGGGTTGCCAGATCCTGTCCCTCACCTCTGAAAGGCCTCTTGCATTGAACCCCTTTGTGCCTTTCCCACTGTCATATCCCTTCAAGGGTCCTGGTATGTCCCCTAGACCTCTGCCCTGCCACTGTCCTCCTGCCCCTCACCCCCAAGCCTTGCTCACTACTTCCAGGTGACCGTCCAAAGTCATGCTCTGATCTGGGTGCTCCCCGGCCTGGACCCCTCCAGTGACTCTCCAGAGCTGACGGGCAAACCCCAAGCCACTTACCTGACACCCGAGGCCATCCACGACCTGTCCCCTGTGGGCCTTCTCAGCGGCACTGCAGAGAGACACGAGTGTTAGGGCTGGAAGGGATGGGGCCACTGAGCCCTGCCGCCGCTACCCCACTCCTCCGCATTCCTGCCAGGCAGCCATCAGGCTGTGCGCAGGTGCCCTCGGGGACGGGGACCCCGCTCCTCCCCAGCTCACATCTCCCTGAGAGGCGACACACCTGGGGCTGTGAGGAAGAGGACCCTGCGCCTCCCAGGACCGCCCCTCTCCTAGCGGGAGCCGGGGAGGTGTCCTTTCTCCAGACATGACCTGCCATGTCAGCTGTGTCTCCAGTGGGACCTTCTCCCGTCCCGGCCACACTGGCCGCTCCCCGCCGCAGACGTTTGCACGGGTCGGCTCCGCCACCCTAACAAAATACCGCAGCCTGGTGACTTCAGCAACAGAAACTTATTTCTCACAGTTCTGGAGGCTCGAAGCCCAAGACCAAGGTGTCAGCAGGTGCGGCCTCTCCTGAGGCGGTTCTTCTGGGCTCGCGGACGCCGCCCTCTCGCTGCGTCCCCACATGGCCTTTTCTCCTGCTGTCTCGCTGCGTGTCCAAACTTCCTCTTCTTATGAGGACACCAGTCACATTGGATGAGGGCCCACCCCAACGGCCTCATTTTACCTTAATTACCTCTTCAAAGGCCCTGTCTCCAAATACAGTCAGAATCGAGACTCTGGGGTTAGCATTTGAACATATGAATTTTGAGGGGACAGAATTCAGCCTTTAACAGATCTATAGTCTGTGTGCCCCTAAAAGTGTAGCACCCCAAAGAAAACCTAGCAACCCAGGTGGTTGCTAGTGTGACCGGCCAGGCCTCTGTGCTCTCTCTGTGCAGCCAGGCCCAGCCCTGCGTCTGCTGCTCCGGCAACCCGCCATCCTGAGCCCCAGCTGACCGACGGCGACCCAACCGTGGAGTCCCAGGGATGCAGGGTGCACCTGAGCCTGTCGCTTCATTGCTACACTGGAGCGGTGAGGTTTAGGTTTGGGGCCATGTCAGAAGTCACCTTGCTCGTGGGCTGCCTTGCTCCTGCATGCCTGGCTCTTCCTGGATCCGGACAGGGTCCCGCAGCTTCCCCGCCCTCCTGCTCCCGGCTGACACCACCCCACCTTGAATACGCACGTGCCACTGGGTATTGTGTTGAAGGTGCCAAACTGGACGTCACTCACACAGGCCCTGGGACCTCCCTCCAGACTAACCCTGGCTGTGGTTCACCAGCTAAGGGTCCAGCCGGCCGCTCCCTGTTACGCATGGATCCTCCAACCCAGACAGACCCATTACCAGCACCCTCTGAACACTCTGCCTGCCTTGCCCTATGGGGGCCATGGTTCAAACTGGCCTCCTGGGCAATCCCAGCAGAGGCCAGGGATCAACGGGACATTCTCTGGACTCCAGCTCCCTGGGTTCTCCCAATGTCTGTGCTAGAGTTTCCCTGTCTGTAAAATGGGATGATAACCCATTAACCCAATAACCTCAGAGGGCTTTTAGGAGGATTAAAGTAGTTGACACCTGTGAAAGTTCTAGAACCATGACTCTTCATACTGAGCACATGTTAAGCATTCACTAATGTTATCAGAGGCAGCGAAGCGCAAGTGCTGGGCGTCCAGCTCTGTGTCCAGACCACCGGGGTTCGAACCCTGCCTCGCTGCAGACCAGAGCCTGGGCCATCTGTTCACTTCTCTGGGCTGTAGCTTCCCATCCGTACAATGGGGACAATAGTGGCACCTGCCGCAGAGAGCCGTCACAGAGATTAAGTGAGTCCATAAAGAAAAGCCCTTAGCACGGTGCAGGCACGCTGTGCTGCGAGCCTGTGTTTGTTGGCCGGCGTCAGTGATGCCCTTTTCTCTCCCTGTCGCTGACTGTTGAAACCGGAGCCCTCCCAAAGGACTGGCTTAAATGTCACCCCAGCGAACACTTACTAAAATGCCTACTCTGCCCAAGGCGCTGTGCCGTTTGGTTGTTTGTTTTTAACTTTTTACTCTGAAATAATTTCAAACTCACAGCTGAAAAGAAAGCCTCAAGAATAACACAGAGAGGACCCTCATGTGCCTGTCACCCCCATTCATTGGCCTTTGCCACTTTGTACTTGCATCCCTCCCTCCCTCCCTCTCTCTCCCCATCTCGACTGCAGGCATCATGGCCCTTTGCCCCTGTGCACCCATTTGTATTTCCTAAAGAGCAAGCACGTCCTCTTAGGTAACCACAGGACAGTTGTCAAATTCAAGAATTTAACATGGATGTGTTTTATCTAACCCACGGCCCGAGTTGCAGTTCTGCCCGACCGTGTCTCTCATGGCACTTTCCCTCCAGGCCAGAATCACGTTCTGCACTTGGTTGCCACGTGCATTCGGAACTTGTGACTCAACCACAAACAAGGCACGGAGTCCTGTCCCTAATGTTTACAGGCCTGGGCAAAAGCATACTGAAGGAGGTCCATGCATCGCATGTTAAATATGCTATGGTTATTTTTTAAAAACTGTAACTGAAAATATGATCTCTGTGCTCAAGAGGTTTCAGTCTAAGGGAGAGACTGATAATTATAGTCCCATGGACTTGGGGCGCAGGTAGAGGTGAGCCCACAGTCACCGCACGCTCAGAAGGGCCCTCTGCTTCCGCTCAGCTGCTCGTCCTTCGCCGACTCCTCTCCCCTGGCAGCCACCTCGCCGTCTGGGCAAGGATGTTTATCTGTGAATTGTCGCCCTCCTTACTGGACTCGACAGCAGGAACCACGCCCTTCTCTCTGCACGTCTGAGCACTCAGTGCAGCGTCGGTCACAGACTAGGTGCCGAGTGAGGCCCGAGTGAGTGAACGCGTGCACAGACAGCTCACTGGCGGGGCGGGTGGGCGAGCGTGGTGCATGGATGTTGGGTGGGTAGACGGTGCACGAATGGCCGGTTTGACCTTTCCTGAACAGCAGGACAAGGGAAAGGCAATGGGAACCCCTGTCTGCCCTAAGAGGGGTCTCGAAGTGTTTATGTGACTGGCCAGATCACCAGAGGATGTCGGCGGTAGAACTGGAATGAGAACCTAATGTTCTTGACTCCAAGAATCATGACTTTTGCCATGACATGGAGCAGCTTCCAACCTACAGCACCTTAAAGCCTGGCCCTCCCCTCCCCATGCCCTGATGCGTATGGAACCTTCTGCGGGAGTTGCCGGCGCTCTCCTGGCGGCTGTGTCCATGCTGTCCCACCTTTGTGTTCAGCTCAAGCACCCAGCTCCTCTGGGAGCCTCCACCGACCACCTCCCTCTTCTGGCCACCCACAGTAGCGTGGAGGCGTGCAGCATTGCTTTCCTGAACCCCCTCTTGGCATGTGCACTGTGAACACCCTTATTCTCACTGTTCTCCTGCACACTGTGTCTTATTTCCTCAACTGGACAACGACCGTGTCACCCGTAGCACCTCCCCCAGAACCTCCCGCACGCCCTGGGCACAGCCGCTGCTCCGTAAACCTTGGACTGATTGGGCTGCAGAACCAGTCAGGCTGCAGAGCTCCATAAGGCCACGACAGTGGGTCATCTACAATCCACCTCTCCAAGTTTTCAAGTGAAACCTCCTGCTACATGCCTAAGAATCGCAGCACTTAAAAAGAAGAATTCCCATTAGCCGTCCCTGCCATGGCAGCTTTCAGCAAAAACTTAGAGCGTAAAGGCCAATCTACCACATGCTTCAGAGCGATTCACAGACTCGAAACAGCAACAAAGACTGGGAACCGGCCACGTGCAATAAAAAAGAAGACAGAGAAGATTAATTGCCTTTGGAAATGAAAGATAATCATCGCGAGCACAGGGATAGTGCGCGCCAGTGGGAAAGCGTTTTCAGAAACGCCACGTTAGTCATCACGGAGGGCTGGGCCGAGGCGCCCACTGTGACATCAAAGGGCCGGTATCTGGGACGGTGGGGGAAGTTCTAATAATAGTCCTGTGCTCGCTGGCTTTGCACATTTTGGCATCAAAATGTCCCCACCAGGAGCTGCCCCTGGGGAGGTTGGCAAGCAGCCAGGTGACTCCCACCACCTGCTCAGCTTAGGGGCTTCTTCGGGGTTGGGGTAGGACTGTGGGCCTGGGGGACAGGAGGTGGCAAGTGGCCCGGCATGCTCACCGAGAGAGAGCAAGAAAAAGCAAAAAAAAAAAAAACTAACTAAATATATATATATACACATACATACACAGAGAGAGAGAGAGAATGCACGTGCTCACGCACACTCCAAACTCTCTCCCCTCCGGGATCTTTCCCAGGTCTCTGGGCCGGGTGCCCCCACCCCCACCTCTCCCTCCCTCCCGCTGGGACTGGCAGCCGCTCTCCAAAGAGCAACCAGGCAGGAAACAGCACCAGGTCTGCAGCTGGGTGCTGGAAAGCTGCGCCACAGGGGGCTGAGCACGGAGGAAATCTGTCTGGATATGGGACCCAGATGGGGTGGGGGCGGGGGTGCAGAGGACAGTGAGGCAAGATAAGAAGACGCTCTGATTCAACTGGAAAGGAGGAGGGTGTTCGGGGCTGAGAGTGCTAAACCGCTCTCTGCAGCTGCCTGCCGCAGCCCTTTCCTTCCTCTGGAGCCTGCTGGCTGGACAGGCCTGTGCTCTCTCCAGGACGGGCACGCCAGGCTCCACGGGCCTGTGGTCTGTCACTGCCCTGTCCAACACAGCAGCCGCGAGCCATGTGAGGCTGTTGAGCATTTGAGATGTGGCTCGTTCGAATCCAGATGTACCGAGTGTAAAATATACATCGGGTTTTGAAGGGCTGGTATAGAAAAAAGAATGCACAACATCTCATTAAATAGTTTTTGTATTAATTACACATTGCAATGATAATATTTGCATACATGGATTAAATAAGAGACATAAAAATTCATTTCACTGTTTCTTTTCACTGCCTTAAATGTGGTGACTAGAAAATTGGAGATTACACGTGTGGCATGTATTTGTGGCTGATGTTATATTCCTACTGGTCAATGCTGGTCCTTAGTCAACAATTCCATCCCTGTCAATGATTCCATTCAATTCAATC